CAGCTCGTAGTTTTTGGTATGTAAAAATTATCAAACTCATATAAACTTAAAAAATGTGATAAGCTTTTAAAAGTAGAGATTTCAAGCTTTAAAACCCTTTTTTTAAATTTAAATTTCGTTCATTTTTGACGAAGGTATCGTATATACAATTTTTCATTGTAAAATCCGCACGGACTTTCCGGACCACCCAATATTTATTTATAGGAATTAAATAGAACATATCTCTATGCCTTTTAATCTAAAAATAATATTAGCATTTTCTGTGCACACATCGTGAATACTACTCAATTCAGAATTGTGAATAGCAAGTACAGTTTTTTTAATTCAGTTAAATTCAAAAATAATATCAGCAATTTTGTGATAATGTTAATACTGCTCAATTCAATTCTGAATATAAATATATTTTGAATATAAAATGCAGTTTTCAAATCTAATTGAATAAAAAAAGTTTTTATTTAAAAATAGACCATAAATGTTACTTAAATTATTCAAAATCATAAGTATAATAGATAAAATTTAAATTGTTAGAAAGTGGCTAAGAAATTTACAAAGGTTAAATAATAAAGAGCATACAGCCACGAGCAAGGATGTAAATAAGTTATATTTTATTTAAAACAAATTCATAACAATAAGTAGACGTTTCGGTCAAGATTTGACCCTCTTCAGTACAATAAAAATGAATACGTTAAACATTAAAACTAAATACGCAAGTCAACTAATAAATGTAGTGACAGCAAGTAACAAAAAATTATTATTTCCTTACAATATAGTAGTAATCGTAACAGTTTAAAGTAAATTAAAGTAACAGTTAATTGTTGTCGCGCTATACGAATAGACAGAAAATACGAAAGTTTTTTTCGTCATGATACAATTAAGAAATCTTCATTTAAAAACGACGAGCCCCACACAAAGAGACTCTTGTCTGTTACTTGCCCTCAATTTCTATTTCTAATCAAATTTTTGATCCTATGATTGATGGAGTCAAAAATAAAGTTTAGTGGGTAGTCATTCAGAAGTAAAATGTCAATGATGGAGGTCAAATTTTTTGTGTGAAACCTAACGTCAGATAATAAAAAGGCTCTGTCGACTAATGAAAAGATGGTGCCTTTTTTCTGCGTCAATGGATGATTAGAGTGGAAGTTTAAAAATCTACCTGAAAACGTTGGCTTACGGTACCAATCGAAATTAAAGCGATTATTGTTGACAGACACAGTGACATCCAAGAAATTGATCGTTTTTCCGCCTCTCTCTACGGTAAACTGTAGGCGCGGATGGAATGCATTAAATCTCTCTAATAACACGTCGATCTGAGAGGGGGGCAACGCAGTGCATATGTCGTCAACGTATCTATAATAGAATAGAATGTCCAAATTCACAGACATCAAGGACACCGTCTCCAATCTCCTCAACACTAAGTCCGCTATCACCGGTGATATTGGAGAGCCCATGGGGGTGCCAAAGCTCTGCCTGTAAAAAACATTGTCAAAGACAAAAAACGAAGAGTCCAGGACAAACTGTATCGCTCCCAAAAATTTTTTCTTGGGTAGAGAGCAATCCCCGGAAACCGCCGGCCAATGTTCGTTAACGCAGTCGATCGCTACATCCGTTGGCACGTTCGTGAAAAGAGAGGTAACGTCCAAAGACGTTAACTCATGTGTCCCCGTAAAGTGCACATCCCTCAGCCTCTCAACCAGTTCAAAACTGTTTTTCATATAACTGTCAGCTCTCGGGATGGTTTTAAATAATTTCTTGTGTAAAAACGTAGCCAAAGAATGTAGCGGACTGCCCACCGATGACACTATAATTCTAAGAGGACAATCAGGCTTGTGAATCTTTGGCAGCCCATAAGCCCTCGGGAGAGAACCGTCACTGCAGTACAAAGCTTTGTACTCAGAATCCTTGATGTGACCTCTGGTCTTCCACCCAGTGAGCATAGACCTCAAGGCTGACGTAAGCTTTTTGGTCGGATCTCTTTTAATCGGGACATACGTGTCTGAGTCCCCCAATAACTCGGTCATCCTGTCTCTGTAAACGTCCCTATCCATGGCCACAGTGACGTTGCCCTTATCCGCCAGCGTAAACACGACGCTGGGATGCGCCGTCAAAAACGATCGAGTGTCCGACTCTAATACAGCCAAACACTTATGAATGTCAGAAGTGAAGACTGGAGACGAGACGATGTTTTTCATGATGGGAATGGATTGATTAATCACATCCATTCTCCTATCTAAGGGCATTCTTAGTGTGCCACTCTCAATCCCTTTGATACAGTCAAAAATGATCCTGTTCTTATTGTTAAAGGGGAGCGCGAAGTTGTTACCCAGTTGCAGGAAACATTGAACATTGTGAGGGATAACACACGAAGACAAGTTCAGAAACCAGCCATCCCTGACAGTGGACAGAGA